CGCGCCACAGCAGCTGGCCGCTGCGCGCGCGCGTGCTAGGGCAGAGATGCACCAGCCAGCGCGAAACACTCATCGCGATCGCCGCCGCATGGGGTTTGCAGACCAAGTGGCGGGTGGGTGGGTGGGATGTTTGCGCGAGCAGTGGAGTGGACATCTTCAAGTCGAACGCTGGTGGATTGCACCACGTATATTGCGCCGCGTAGATTGCACTATATAGGTTGCACCGCGTACTTTTAAACTTATATGTATGTATGTATGTATGTATGTATGTATGTATGTATGTATGTATGTATATAAGTACATATATATATATGTATATATATGTGGTATAAAGAATTACCCCGGGGATTATCGGTACGCTTTTCCGTATTTCAATTTACGTGTGGTCCTGTCCCCTCTTCCATCTTATAAATACACTCGTCCCGTCCCAGCCTACCCGGTATCGACCCCCCTCATCTTTTACAACAAATTCCATGCCCGCGCATTCGTTCATCAAAAAACAGCAGTTTCCAACAATTCCTTGCAATACATGGGGCGAAGTGCACAGGCGCGTCGTCGCGCGCGCATGCCGAAATCCTTCACAAACCAGTGGGTTCGCAAGGATTTCAAAATCGAGTGTCAAAGAACACACGCGTACACACATGTATATATATATATATACACACATATATACATATATATGTATATATGTATATATATGTATATCTGTTTATAGAAAGCATGGTTTCGCAACGCGGGTTTTCAAAAAAAAATGTGCGCGCGTGTTCTTGGGAATTCTTAATGGCACCATCGGTTTTTCAATCTTTTCAGACATGCTACCAAACGGACTTCGCGCGCGCATGTCGGAATCGTTCGAACGCCGTGGCGCGCGTGCCGTCTCGAGAACCTTTTGCAACAGATATGGCGAAATGCACACGCGCGCGTCGTCGCGCGCTCACCGAAATCCTTCAACAACTCTCGGTTTCGCAGAGATTTCAAAGCCAAGTGTCCAAAAAACGAATCAAAAGCACATGATTTCGCAACGTCAGTTTTGTGAAAACAGACGTGCGCGCGCGCTCTTGCGAGTTCTTGAGAAAACCATGGGTTGTTCAACATGTTCAGGCGCCGCATGCCGACGTCATTCGCACGCCCTTGCGCGCGTGCTGGGGGGGGGGGCACGACCCGTGTCAAATAAAACCATGCGGGCCACTCCTGCGCGTCGGCCCTTTCCAAAACCTTCATCGCCGACGCGAGGATGCCGTCATCGTCGCCGGCGTAATCAGCATTGGCGCCCGCACTTGCCGCGCCGTCCTCGTTGTTAACATCGTTGTCAGCATCGCTACTATCATCATCGTGTCTACCTCTGTCGGTGTTGCCATGATACCGCGCCCCGCCGAACTCGCCGACTCGCAGTGAAGTGCCCGCTGGGATGCGCCCAGCGGTCAGCGCCACCGAGGCCGCGTCGGTGGCGCCAAACTAGCTGGCCGCTGCGCGCGCGTGCTACGGTTGGCGCGGCCGCAGAGATGTACCAGCCAACGCCAAGCAGCATGTATCGCAGTCGCCACCCCATGGGTTTTGCAAACCAAGTTGCGGGTGGGTGGGCGGGATGTTTGCAAGAGCGTGGGATGTGTCAATTCGTTTGCTTAAACCCATTGCGCCACGGAATTGCATCGCATACGTTGCACCACGCAAATTGCGCCGAATAGACTGCAAAAACATATTGTTTGGGGTCCACGTTGGCTAGCAGTAGATATACTTAGAAAAAGAAGTTTTAAATATTACGAATGCTACAAACAATCTGATAATGACGAGTACAAGTAACACGAGTACGAAGGGGCACAACACTAACACTAGTACGAATAATGCGAATAGTTCGGGCTTTACAAACAACAGCAGCAATACAAATCTGCCCCTACAAGGAATCGGATCATTTTTTGCTGCTACTACTGTACGACTACTTCTAGTCCTACTCGTACTACTGGTAGTAGTAGGAGGAATAACCACACTGTCAATATTGTTTCTACTGCTACGACAAACAGTAGTCAAATTACGAAGTATGATACTACCAACATACACATGATTAAGGACTGTGAATAATAATCGCATTCGTAACACGGAGAAGAAGGGGACAAGACTTTGAAACATGATGCGCAATGATGCTAATGATACGGCTCAGAATGAAAATTGCTAATTTCACCAACACGACTATGACGTAACACCAATGGGAAACAATGATAATAATGATGACAATACAGATTTTTAGTCTCATGAATGTCACCGGTAATTGGAACAACAGTAATAGTAGCAACAATGAAAGACATGGACCATACAGTAATCGTAGGATTATAAGCATGTAAGCATCAGTAGTAATATAATGGTGGCAGTAATCGTAAGTCAATATTACCAGTAATAATTTACGTGACCGCAAAAAGAATAGTAATATTACTCGTAGTAGTAATAGTAATAGCAGTCGCACTGCTACTAATAATAATTCCAGTAATACAAATGTCAGGCATAATTTTAGTAATTGCCGTCGTAATTGAAATCACAATGGTACTAATAATAGTAATACTCGTTGTGCTCTTTTTAGTTTCATAACAGTATGAGTTTGAGTAAGAGTAAGCGTAAGAGTGCCAGTAATAGTAATACCAATGGTAATGGTATTAATACTCGTACTAGTAGTACTAATAATGGTAGTAATAGTGGTAGTAACGGTGCTGGTACTAGTACGAGTAAGAGTAGTAATACTAGTAATAAGATGCGTAATGCTGATCGCAATCGTAATAGTAGCAGTGATTGTGGGAGTAGTAGTGCCAGTGCTAGTGATCGTGATCGTATCAGTACTAGTGGTAGTTGCAGTAATAATATCAACAGTTATCGTAGTAGTAGTAGTAGTAGTAGTAGTAGTAGTAGTAGTAGTAGTAGTAGTACTAGTAGTAGTAGTAGTAGTAGTAGTAGTCGCAGTAGTAGTAGTCGTCGTAGTAGTAGTAGTAGGAGTAGTAGTAGTAGTACTAGTAGTAGTAGTAGTAGTAGTAGTAGTAGTAGTACTAGTAGTAGTAGTAGTAGCACTAGTAGTAGTAGTAGTAGTAGTAGTAGTAGTAGTAGTAATAGTGGTAGTAGTAGTAGCAGTAGTAGTAGTCGTCGTCGCCGTAGTAGTAGTAGTAGTAGTAGTAGTAGTAGTAGTAGTAGTAGTAGTAGTAGTAGTAGTAGTAGTAGTAGTAGTAGCACTAGTAGTAGTAGTAGTAGTAGTAGTAGTAGCAGCAGCAGTAGTAGTCGTCGTCGTCGTCGTAGTAGTAGTAGTAGTAGTAGTAGTAGTGGTAGTACTAGTAGTAGTAGTAGTAGTAGTAGTAGTAGTAGTCGTAGTAGTAGTAGTAGTAGTAGTAGTAGTAGTAGTAGTAGTAGTAGTAGTAGTAATAGTAGTCGAAGTAGTAGTGGTAGTAGTAGTAGTAGTAGTAGTAGTAGTAGTAGTAGTAGTCGTAGTAGTAGTAGTAGTAGTAGTAGTAGTAGTAGTAGTAGTAGTAGTATTGATGGTACAAGTAATCGTAATCGTACTCGTAATCGCAAACGCAATCGCAATCGTAATCGTAATCGTAATCGTAAGCGTAATCGTAATCGAAATCGTATTCATGATAGTCGCAGTTATGGTAGTAATAATGCTAACACGAACCATGCTAATTCTCCGAATCATATTTAGAACACTAAGAACAGTAATCTCATTAGTAATATTAAGAGCAGGAGCAGGAGCAGGAGGAAGAGGAGGAGGTGGAGGAGGAGGAGGAGCACAAAGAGGACGAGGTGGAGGAGGAGGAGGAGGAGGAGCAGGATGGGGGAGGAGGAGGAGTAGGAGTAGGAAGAGGAGAAGGAGGAGGAGGAGGAGGAGGAGGAGGAGGAAAGGAGGAGGAGGAAAAGGAGAAGGAGGAGGAGGAAGAGGAGGAGGAGGAGGAGAGGAGGAGGAGGGGAGGGGAGGAGGAGGAGGAGGAGGAGGAGGAGGAGGAGGATGAGGCGAATGATGATGATGATGATGATGATGATGATGATGATGGTGATGATGATGATGATGATGATGATGATGCTGATGATGATGATGGTGATGGTGATGGTGATGAGGAGGAGGAGAAGGAGGAGGACGGGGATGGGGAGGAGGAGGAGGCGGAGGAGGAGAAGGAGGAGGAGGAGGGGGATGACGAAAACGTACATTGATATTACGAATCAGAAGACGGATAGTAATAAGGAAAAGACGAGGAAGACTGATATCACTAGTAATGATAAGACTCATACGAAGAATGCGAATAAGCGAAATATGAATATGAAGAACTACAAGAAGAATCATACTATCAGCCAGCGTTGATTCCAAATCTATTGTGCGACTCAAATCAGGGAGTCATAGGAATCGAGCATGCTTGGAATCCGCAACTCAGCAAGCAAGCGAACGTGCAAGCAAGCGCGCAAGCAAGCAAGCACGCAAGCAAACACGCAAGCAAGCAAGCAAGCGTGCAAGCAAGCAAGCAAGCAAGCAAGCATGCAAGCAATCAAGCAAACATACATAAAGGGGGTGCCATTGGAAAAAGGGGGGGGGGATAGGCATAGGCATAGACATAGCCATAGGTTTTTTTGGGTAATGGCAGAAATATTCAGAATAGTCCGCGGATCGTAATACTAATACTACTAATAATATCAATAACAATATTATCACTCGGGAGACTATGGATTTTTTGTTTAAATATTTGTTATTTATATCTGGATTCTACTAGTAACAAGAATTAGAAACATAGTACAGTAATATTAATCATAACAAGCAGATAATGATAATCATAATGCTAAGAATAATAATCATATTAATTTTATGAAGAAGAAGAGGCGATAAAAAGGATAAGGAGGAGGGCGGGTGAGCATGAAGGAGGGGCGATGTAGGAGGAGGAGGTGGAGGAGGGGGAGGAGGAGAAAGGGCTGGTGGGGGAGACGTCTGGACCCAGGACGGTCAAGCCTTGGGGGGTGCGATGGGGGCCTTGGGCCATCGGCAGGTGCTCGCGGCGCAGAAGCTGGAAAGGCTCCGGGGCACCGAACGGCCACACCCTTGCCATGCCGAGCCGCCTCCCTGTCTGACGGATCTACGCGCACAGCACGCCCCCCATCGAAGAAGAAAACACGGCTTAGACAGAAACTTTCGGAACTCCGCGCGGATTTCTTGGGTCGGCGCTTGGGCCCCCCTGGCAGCGCCTCCGGCGTCGCCCCTGGCGCGCTCTGCGCACCAGGGAGGGGGCCCCAGCACCGATCCGAGAAATCTGCGCGGACCTCCGAGTTTTCGCTTGCGTTTCTGACGGACATACGCGCACGGCACGCCTCCCAGGTCATTGTGAATTGAACCAACTCACCAAGGTGCAGCTCGGCTGGTGTGGCGTTCCTCGCTTGTTTGTCGTCATTCTTGTCAGGCTAGGGCGAGGCGTGGTGGTAGCATCACCCTGCGTTTCAACAAACGCTAGCTGGCGTGGGCCCCAAGCAGTGTTTCTAGCAGTACAAATTGTGCAACACATGTGGTGCAATCTACGTTGTGTGCAATGTATGTGGTACAACCTATGTGGTGCGATCTATCTGATGCAATTAATCTTTGACCGTCTTGAAGCTATCCTCTCCACTGCTCGTGTAAACATCCCACCCTCCCACCAGCAACTTGGTCGCAAGACCTCTTAAGACAAGACCGTGACGGTGGGTACCACATGGCACTTGGCCACGACACCGACGCCGACGAAGACAGCGACAACGACGACGACGGCGCCGCCGACACCGACTACGACGACACCGACGACGTCTCCAACGACTTCGACGACGACAACGACGACGACGACACCGACGACGACGACGACGACGACGCCGACACCGACGACGACGAGGGAGGAGGGAGGACGACGACGGCGACAACGACGACAACGACGAGGGAGGAGGGAGGACGGCGACGACGCGAACGACGAAGAAGGAGGAAGGACGACGACGCCGACGACGACGACGACGAGGGAGGAGGGACGAAACGAACGACGACGACGACGACGACGACGACGGCGACGAAAGAGGAGGGACGACGACGAGACGCCGACGACGGACGACGACGACGACGACTGGGGAGGAGGAGGAAGGACGACCACGGCGAAAACGACGACGGAAACGACCACGACGCCAAAGACGACGACGACGACGAACACGAGGAAAGACACAGGACGACGTAGGCGACGACGACGACGACGCGGGAGGAGGGAGGACGGCGACGACGACGACGACGCCGACGACGCAAGAGCGCGCGCGCACGCTTTTGTTGAAAATCCGTGTTGCGAAGCCTTCGGTTTTTGTAGGTTTTTTGGACACACGATTTTGAAATCCTTCCGAAACCGATGGGCTTTGAAGGATTTCGGCATACGCGCGCGACGACGCGCGCGTCTGCACTTCGTCTCATTTTTTGCAGAGGATTCTCGCGACAGCACACGCGCAAGGGCGTTCGACAGATTTTGACATGCGCGCGCGAAGCCCGTTTGGTAGTATTTTCTGAACATGTTGAAACGCCCATGGTTTTTTTTCAAGACTTCGCAAGAGCTCGCGCGGCAGCTTTTTTAGCAAACCAGTGTTGCGAAACCATGTGTTTTTATGTGTCTTTTTTGGGAAACTCGATTGCGAAATCCTTCCGACACCAAGGGTTTTTGAAGGATTTCGGCATGCGCGCGCGACGACGCGCGCGTGTGCACTTCGTCCCAGTTTTTTGGCCAGGGATTCGCGAAAAAAGTTCTATGTTAGAATAAAAAATGTCACCGCATAGTGTTTTTAACAAGGGAACCTCAAGGGGGGGGATACGGGCCTCCCGGGGATAGTGTAAATTCATATCTAGGATGGACATGTGGTCAGAATCATATATGATTCTTATACCCGAAAAAAGGGGATTGATAACGCAAGGGGGGGGTAGATCCTATTCTGTTCTTAGAAAGGAGAATTGTTTTGAACAAACGAGTTGACATATCCCATGCTCGTTGCAAACATTCCATCCACCCACCCGTAACTTGGCTGCAAAACCCATGCGGTGGCGATTACGATGAGTGCTTGGCGTTATCTGGTCCATTTCAGCGGCCGCGCCAACCCAAGCGCGCGCGCAGCAGCTAGTTAGTTTGGCGCGACTGACGCGGCCGCGGTGGCGATGACCGCTGGGCACATCCAAGCCGGCGCTTCACTGCGAGTCGGCGGCTTGGGCGGACGCGGTCTCATTGCAACGTCGATAACGGTATACATGATCATGATAGTAGCGATGCTGGTGACGATGTTGGCAACGACGACGGCGCGGCCACTTCGGGCGCCGATGCAGATCACGCCGTCGACGATGACGGCGTCTTCGTGTCGGTCATGCAGGTTTTGGAAAAGTTCGACATGCGCGCGCGGCCGACGCGCGAGAGTGGCCCGCATGTTTTTATCTGGCACGGATCGTGCCCCCCCAGCACGCGCGCAAGGGCGTGCGAATGATGTCGGCGTGCTGCGCGAGAGGCCCGGTTGGCAGAATTCCATGCGCAGTTTGAATCACCGATTGTTTTCTCAAGCGCTCGCAAGAGTGCGAGACCACGCTTTTTTGAAAACGGATGTTTCGAATCCATGTGCTTGTGTATGGTTTTAGACGCTCGATTTTGACATTGCTGTGAACCCGACGGTTTTTGACGGATTTCGGCATGCGCGCGCGAGGACGCGCGCGCGTGCACTTCGTTTCGTTGTCTGCAGTTGATTTTCGCGACGGCACGCGCGCAAGGGCATTCGAACGATTTCGCGATGCGAGCGCGCGCGAAGCCCGTGTGGTAGTATTTTCTGCAAATGTTGGAAACCAATGGTTTTGTTAGAAATTCGCAAGAGCGCGCGTTTTTTTTGTTCATTTTGTTTTTGGTTTTTTCTGTCCAAAACATACAAATATTCGTGTTGCGAAACCAATGTGTGTTGAATGTTTTCTGGACTCAGTTTTGAAATCGTTACGAATCTGAAGGTTTCCGAAGGACTTCGGCATGCGCGCGCGACGACGCGCGCGTGTGCACTTCGTGCCTTTTTTGCAAGGGGTTCTTGCATGCAAAGACTTTTGGTAAACGAGTTCTTTTGCAGGCGATGACGTGGGGGGTCGATACCGATTGGGCTGGGGTGGTATGAGTTTATTTATTGTTAGGATGGGCGATGGGGCAGAATCATACGTAAATGGTGCCGGTAATCCGAGGTGGGGTGGAGTCTATCCTGTTTTTTTATTTTTTTTTATTTTTTACAAAAGGATAATACATATACTGTTTAACCTAGGCTATGTGGTGCAGCATCTGTGGTGCAAGTAATTCGCTATGCAGTATATGTGGTCCAATCTATGTGGTGCAAACTATGTGGTGCAGTTGATGTGGTGTTTTCTGTGTGGTACACTTGATTTTAACAAACGAGATGACACCTCCCATGCTTTTGCAAACATCCCACCCACCCACCCGCAACTTGGTTTGCAAAACCCATGCGGTGGCGATTGCGATGCGTGCTTGGCGTTGGCTGGTGCATTTCTGCGGCCGCGCCAACCCTAGCACGCGCGCGCAGCGGACAGCTAGTTTGGCGCCAGCGACGCGGCCGCGGTGGCGATGACCGCTGGGCGCATCCCAGCGGCAGTGCACTGCGAGTCGGCGGCTCGGGCGGGCGCGGTATCATGGCAACTCCGACGGCGGTGCACGCGTTGATGGTCGTGGCGATGCTGGTGACGATGTTCGCACCGACGATGGCGCGGCCAGCGTGGGCGCCGATGCTGATCACGCCGGCGACGTTGACGGCATCCTCGCGTCGGTGATGAATGTTTTGGAAGGAGTTCGACCTGCGCGAGCGGCCAACGTGTGAGAGTGGCCCGCATGATTTTATCTGACACGGATCGTGCCCCCCAGCACGCGCGCAGAGGCGTGCGAATGATGTCGGCAATCGGCGCCAGAGGCCCGGTTGGCAGAATTCGATGAACATGTTGAGACAACTATGGTTTTCTTAAGACTTCGCAAGAGCGCGCGCGCAAGCTTTTTCGAGCACTGCTGTTGCGAAGCCATGTGTTTGCGAATGTATTGTGACATTCAGTTTTGAGTTCGCTACGAAACCGCAGGTTTTTGAAGAATTTCGGCATGCATGCGCGCGCGACGAAGCGCGCGTGTGCACTTCGTCCAGTTTTTTACACGGGCTTCTCGCGACGGCACGCGCGCAAGGGCGTTCGAACGATTTCGGCATGCGCGCGCGCGAAGCCCGCTTGGTAATGTTTTCTGAGCATTTTTTTTTTGGTGTGTATATTTATATATATATATATATTATATATATAATATATATATATATATATATATAAAATTCCATATCAATACATAACAACATATATTAAAAAGTGTTCAGGACTTCGCGAGAGCGCGCATTTTATTTAACACAACCAAGAAGGAAAACCGTGTTGCGAAACCATACGTTCTTGCATGGCTTTCGACACCCAGTTTTGGAATCTTTGCGAGGCCGAGGGTTTGTGAAGGATTTTGGCATGGGCGCGCGACGAAACGCGCGTGTGCATTTTAGTTTTTCATGAAGGGATTCTTGAACATGTATGATTTTTGAACAACGAGTGTGCGCGCATAGTACTTGTTGTCAGATGACGGCGGGGGGGTCGAGCCCGGCTGGAATTGGATGGTGCGAGTGGACGATGGGCCAGAATCGTGTGTACATTGCAACACAAAGGTGGACCGATAAAGTCGGGGGTGGTGGTGGTGGATCTTAATGGTTTTTTAGAGAGGAGAATCCACTTTGCCGAACTTGAAGATGTCAAACTCCATTGCTCGCGCAAGCATCTCACCCACCCACCCGAAATTTGGTTTGCAAAACCCATGCGGTGGCGATTGCGATGCATGCTTGGCGTTGGTTGGTGCATTCTTGCGGCCGCCCTAGCCCGCTTATGCTCGCGCGCGCGGCGACCAGCTAGTGCGGCGCGACCGACGCGGCCGTGGTGGCGGTGACCGGTGTGCACTTCCAGCGGGCACTTCAGTGCGAATAGGTGACGTGGGCGGG